CTGCCAGGAGATAGTCCCGATAGGTTCTAGTCGGTAGATATAGCCCGTTCTTGATCCTCGATTTCCCTTGGCTCCCGCGTGGTCGGCGTCGACGTATCCGAGAAGTTGTACGGAGGATGTCGTTACTTTACTGTAGGTAAGCCCGGTCGTTGGCGTGGAGACGAAGTAGAGTAGTGCCCGATTAAGTTCCTCGAGATTTTCTTCTTCCGGCTGCTTCAGATGCGTCGCCAGTTGGCTCGCGCTGTAAGATAGATCGGGTCGGCAGGTTACTGCTGCGAATAGTAGGCAGCCGAGCTTCTGCTGGTACTCCTGGATTTGCTTCGCGGGGAGTTTTGCTGAGGTGTTGCTGTTGTTCCCGTAGCGGTAGGGAGTCGGGACCGTAGTCGGCGTTAGACCGAATTTCTTCGCGACAATGCCTGCGTATTTTCCAGCGTGTAGGTAGAACGCCGAGTTGTCTTCGACGACATTTAGTCCCAGGTACTGGGTTACTGAGTCGGACACTGTGAGTGTCAAGTCCCCTTTCAGCTCCCCTTCGAACCAGGTGGCGATGTCGGTGGTGGAACCGATGTAGAGCAGGTCGTCGACGTAAACGATGAGTAGGATATACTCTTTTCCCTTCTGCAGTCGGTACATGCCTTGGTCATGCGGCAGCTGTAGGAATCCGATTTTTACGAGGCGACCGTGAAGATGCTGCTGCCAGAGCCGCAGGGCTTGCTTGATCCCGTAAAGAGATTTTATCAGCTTGGCACACTTTTGTAGGGTCGTCGATGAATCCGAGGGGCTGCTCGACGAAGATCTCGGCGTCCACAGGTGCGTACAGGAAAGCATTTGCGACGTCGATTTGGCGCAGTGGTAGTTTCTTCGTGGCCGCGACGGCGAGTAGGATGCGCAAGGAGGTGTGACGGGAGACTGGGGCAAAAGTTTCTGTGTAGTCGGTTCCGTATCGTTGATCGAAGCCTCGTACGACCCATCGAGCTTTGAATCGTTCGATGGAGCCGTCCGCGTTGGTCTTGATGCGGTACACCCACTTTCCCGAGAGGATGTTCTTCCCGTTGATGTTCGTTGCAGGTACCAACTTCCATGTGTTTCGGTCTTGCAGAGCTTTTAGTTCCTTTTCCATCGCCTCCTTCCATTTCGCCTTATGTTCTCCCCCCAGAGCCTGCGACAGAGTCGAGGGCTCGCGCGGAGATGGCGGCGGCGGATGCTGGACGGAGACCCATAGGCCGAGGATCTGCAGTTCTGTAGGTGTGTGTCGAGGGGAATTTTCATTCCCGGAATAAGCTGCTTCGTCACCATCTTCTGGATCAGGTAAGAAGTTTGGGCCGATGCGTTCTGAAACATTCGTATCGAGTGGGTGGGGTGTAACGTAACCTTGGTCAGCGAAGTGGTAAAAGGTGTCGAGGTTGTTGCTATCGAGAGGATTGTCTTCGTCGAGTGGAACAGGTACGGAACAGAAAGGGAGTGGTCCGGCAGCTTCCGAGGCTCCAGGTACGTCTTCTTCTGCTGCGTCAGCCTCGGCAGCACGGTTGGCGAAGGAACGAAGGCCCGCGAGGCCGTCGGTGGGGTCGTGTGTGTTGGCAATGTTGTCTAGGTAATGCTGCAGCGTCAGTCGCTCGTAGAAGATAACATCACGTGATGCCACGGTATTTTTGTCTTGTATGTCGAGGATTTTCCATGCGTGAAAATGTTTGGCGATGCCGAGATGTAGTCCCCACCGAGCTCGTTGAGTGAAGCGTCCTGCTCGGGCTGTGTATGGTCTGTACTGTACCATGCAGCCGAAAACTCGTAGTAATTTTGTGCTGCCCCTTTTTCGTGTCCACAGCAGGTGCGGTGATGTGTTGTTGGGGAGCGATGACGAGGACAACAGATTGTGTAGGTGGACTGCATGTGTCATCGCGTCTGGCCACAGTATGGTGGGCAGTCTCATTCCCAGGAGTATCTTTCGCATCGTCGTCTGCAAGGTCCGGTTCATGCGTTCTGCGACCCCCTGCTGCTGGTGAGCGTAGGGCAGAGACAACAGGCGTCTGATTCCTCTTTCCGCCAGATAGGTCCTGAAGCGTTGTGACTGGTATTCCAGTGCACCGTCTGACTGGAAGCTCTTGAGCTTGGTTCTTGATTCTCATTCGGCGATGGGAAGCCATGTCGTGAAGGCGTTGAAGGCTTGATCGCGCGTCTTGAGGTTGTAGTGCCAGACGTATCTTGTTGCTGCGTCGATAAACGTGATGACATAGTTGAAGTCGGCTTCAGTGTCTTCTCGAGGCATGTTTAAAATGTCACTGTAGACTTTTTCCATCGGTGCGTATGCAGGTGCGCTTGGGTTGTGATGGGATGGAAAAGGCTGGTGGGGAAGATCGGCTTCGGGGCACGTAAAGCACCGTGCGCGTGGTCGTCGAAGTTCTTGGCCGCTCGTTGTAAGGAGAGCGTTTTGTTCTAACACTTCGGCTTGGATGGTTTGCAGTATTGTACTGTTTGCAGGATGTCCGAGACGTTGGTGCCAGATGTCGCCGGGAGCGCGATGGCCGGGCGAGCGGTGGTATATGTCGGTGTTGGAGAAGAACGCGACGACCGTGGCGGGACTGCGGCAGACTTCTCGTGTGATGGGCATAAATTGATCTGCTTCGGTTGGCGGTCCTCGGATCGCTGGTGGTGGTACTCGGCTGGGTCCTGCTGCTGCTACTGTAGGTGATGGTTGGGAAGGGACACTTGCTGGTACTTGTCTTTCTTGTCTGATGACTGCTAATGCTCGTGTTCTCTCTGCTGCAGGTATGGTGTTGGAGTACCAGAATCCATCGGGGTTGAAATCGGGATCAAGATCCGGCGGGTGTGTCCAGGCGGCGAACGACACAATCCCATCGCTGTCGGCAGTACCGCGGTCGGGGACGAAGTCCAACAAGAAGACGCCGGACTTCAGGAGAGCGCGACCGATGAAGAGACCGCCCTTCCCGTGGTAAAGGCGAAACTCGTTGGAGTAGGAGTCGCACTCCAGGTGAATCCCTTTTGCCATTAGCTGGCTGACGCTTAGTAAGTTGTATCCCAAGTTGTCGACGATGAGGACCTTGTTGAGTTGAAGTATAACGTTTGTCTCTTTGGATTGTAACTGAACCACTCCTTGTCTGTTTGTTTTCAGGTTTTCGTTGTTGGCGACGGTGATGATGACGTCGCGGGTGAGGCGTCGCTCCCGTTGCACGAAGCGTCCGGAAGAGCACATGTGTTGACCACAGCAGCTGTCCAAGAACCAGGTGTTTCGCCCGGTGGGTTCGGCGTTGGCGACCGCATCGTATGTCTGGTTGACCTCAAGTCCTTGTGAGCGCGGCGGCGGAAGTTCTTCTTTGTCTGGTGCGTAAGTGGGTGGTGATCCGGGTGCGCAGTTGTCGATATGTACCATGCAATTAATGATGTTCGGTGTCCCTTGTGCAGATGTGGAAGAGCGCCTTGGAGGGCTTTCTTGAGTGGAGGCGACGTGTGGGTCTACTGGACGATAAACACGAGGACGTGTGCAGTTGACTTTGGAATATCCGGAAGTCTGACAGTTGTGGCAGAACGGTGGCACGAAGGTGAGTCCTCTGTTGTCGCGATGATCTTGTTTGCCGCGTCGATTGTAGTTGTTGTCGTTCCTTCGTTGAGTGTAGAAAACTAACTGCTGCTGCTTCCTTGGTTGTCTTTCTTCGAACAGGTCCATCTCCCTGTTGTTCAGCGTGAAGCTCGGCGCAGAGGTGCATCTCCGATATCCTTCCGTGGGCTCGAAGAAGCGAGCGTGTGATTCTCCATTCTGGCCCGAGCCCAGCGAGGACAAGCGTCACGAAGCTTTCTTCAGTGATTGTTCCTCCACACCGAAGCAGGCGGTCGCGGAGGGTCTGACAGCGACTCATATACTGCATCGCCTTTTCCCCGGTCTTCATCTGTATTGTTGTCAGTTGTTGCATGAGTCTGCTTTGTGTCACGCTGTCGTTTGCTTGATAGAGACACTTGAGATGATGCCATGCGAGTTCCGCGGAGTTTCCATAGCTGCGATATGTTCTGATGCTCTGCTGTTCTTGTGGTGACAGGTTCCGCAGGAGAACTGTGTACGCCAGCAGCGACTGATAAGTAAATATTTCTTGCTCCTTTGTAGTGCCGTTGCTTGGGAATGGCAGGGACCCGTTGAAGTATCCCAAGAGATGCGCAGCCTCCATCAGCAGCTCGAACTCAAAGCTCCAGGTAAAGAAATCGTGTCCGTTGAATGGCGAGGATGTCTGCAGTTTAATCACGTGTGAAAACTGCGCTTGGAGACTTAAGATCTCGTTTGGTGTTTGTTGTGATGCAGCTGCTGTTGGTTGGGCACGGGGCGGCATGAACTCAAATGTCCCCGGTGAAGAGTGATAAGGCGCAAAGGTAGGCGCTTGATTGTGTCGCCCGAACGATGAGTTGTCGAGGCTCATCGGCGCTAATCCCATGTTCCCTCCGTTGCTTTGTGTTGAATGTGCAGGCGTCCTTGTCTGCTGCTGCTGATCGAAGTGTGACATGAAGCTGAAGAACCTTTCCATAAGGTTCGGATCCACGCTTGAAGAGGGTGATGGGGTCACCATTTCCGGTGTTCTTCCTGTTGTTTCTTGAGCAGCGCCGGTCTCGGTTTGCAGTCCTGAAGTATGCAATCCAGAGTTGCGGGGTTGAATGTCTTGGGCGCTGGGTGAGCCCGTAGAGATTTTCTTGCCCTTGCTGTCCATGACTTGTAATCAATGAAGTCGTTGAATTGCAGATTGAACGTAGTTGCTGGGAGTTTGGTCTCTGACCAGCTCTCATACCATGTTGGGCTGAGAAAAGCCCTTAGGATCTTTCCAGAGACTAAGTCCCAGTTGAAGATTGAGACTTGAGTAGTGCAGCGGAAGTTGAGTAGTTGAACCCTTGTACTAGTATATGAGAACAAGTGATTAATTAAAGAAACAAGCATACAACAATATATAGAAGATAAGCAGTTGTAGAATACAGTTGCAGGAGCGGTTATCGAGTCGCACAGCGACTCGATTGTCGCTTCGGTTACCATCCGCGCGGTTGTAACGGTCAGTCGCAACCTCCAGTTGCGACCCTTCGAGTCCCTTCGCGTTCTTTGTTCGCCCCCTCGTGTAACCTCCGTTGACTCGCGTACCCGTTGCGATCTTCCTCGAGTGTAGTGTTACACTTCAGAAACGCTGAAGTCCTTTGAGATATTTCCCCAATGGTTTCTCTGATTTTCCAGGGTTTTTTTTACTTGTAAAAAAATTACACTGATAATGCAGAGGGGTTTTTTACGTAACTCTCGGCAGCAGGGTCATCTGTACGAGCGAGGCAAGATCGGGAGATGGGGGGGAAACGAAGGGGAAAGATCGAGAGATTGCAGGGGCGGAGGGAATCGAGCTGGTAGGGGAGGTCGACACAGCAGGGAATCTTGCACTCCCCTCCCCCTTCGAGCACAAATGGCTCGGTGTTTTTGGTGAAGGGACAATTGGCCCCCTCACACAGCACGGGCCAGGCGATGATTTCGCTGGTGCGCATGACATGCCCTGTTCTGCGGGGACATGGGGGCACAGCTAGGTACAGGGGGCGGGGACAATTTCACGGGTATCCACCCTATACACTGACCATCAGAGTGGTACGAAGGTATACTCTGATAAAATCAGAGTAAAAAGTAAATTCATTTTGTTTACTCAGGGCCCCTAGAGTAGTTTTCAAAAACGACTCTGATTTTCAGAGAAACAGAGTAAATTACTCTGATAAAATAGGCCTTGCCTCCAGCCCCTTGTCGGGGGCTGATTTTGGAAAGGGCCACTCAGCGTCAGCGCGCTCTACAGCGTGGAGGGGCTGGAAGCATGCCAGGATTACGGTAACACGGGAACGGCCAAGGCTGCTGGTTAACTATGTGGAGGAGTGATGGAACGACAGCAGCAAGACGGAACAGTTGTCCTTGCACTTGCGCTCCCACACTGCCTCCTTCACCACTCGCCGCGCAGCAGACTCCACCGACACCCCCTTCTGGAGAAAGGGAAACGAAACAAAGAATGTGACAAGTTGTGGGACTGGAGACGGTGTGACGAAGGGTTCTGCCTACTGTAGGAAGGGCATACAGCACATAGAATGATGGAGAAACAGTGTGCAAGAGGCTTCATACCTGCAAGAGGCTCCGTACCTGCAAGAGGCTCTGAACCTGCAAGAGGCTCCGTACCTGCAAGAGCCTAGGTACCTGCAAGAGGCTTCGTACCCGCAAGAGGCTTCGTACCCGCAAGAGCCTCCGTACCCGCAAGAGGCTCCGTACCTGCAAGAGGCTCCGTACCTGCAAGAGGCACCGTACCGGCAAGAGGCTCCGTACCTCCAAGAGGCTCCGTACGTGCAAGCGGCTTCGTACCTGCAAGAGGCTTCGTACCCGCAAGAGGCTCCGTACCCGCAAGAGGCTCTGTACCCGCAAGAGGCTCCGCACCTGCAAGAGGCTTTGTACCTGCAAGAGGCTTCGTACCCGCAAGAGGCTCCGTACCCGCAAGAGGCTCTGTACCCGCAAGAGGCTCCGCACCTGCAAGAGGCTCCGTACCTGCAAGAGGCTCCGTACCTGCAAGAGGCTCCGCACCTGCAAGAGGCTCCGTACCCGCAAGAGGCTCCGTACCTGCAAGAGGCTTCGTACCCGCAAGAGGCTCCGTACCTGCAAGAAGCCTCGTACCTGCAAGAGTCCTTGCGTGAAGTTGACAGCATCAGCAGGACTGAACACCTGCACACAGACAAGGTCCAAACACGGGGACAAGCGTGAGGTGGACAAACGTGCTGGGCCACATAGGAGCACGCGATAGGTGCTGGTGAAGGACGCAGTGGCAGTGGTGCTGGCAGCACAGGTGTATATACAGGCATTCACATCTACTGAGTGGACTGCTCACCCCCCAGAGGCCATCACAGGCCAGCAACAGAAAGCAGTCACGCGGGGAGAGGTGAAAGACATTGATGTCAGGGGTGCAGGACACCCCCGCCTGCACACACACATGCACACGCACACACGCATGCACGCACACATGCACATGCACACATGCACACGCACACATGCACACGCACACACACGCACGCACACGCACACGCGGACACACACGCATGCAAACACATGCACGCACATGCACACACGCACACACACGCACGCACGTACGCATGCACACACACACAAGCAGGCACGCACACACGCACGCACACATGCACGCACAGACCCACGCACGCATGCACACTCACGCATGTGCACACACGCTTGCAAATACGCACATGCACATGAAAAAAAACATTGGATAAGCTAATTCGGTATTCACGATGATAAGGGGAGAGAGAAAGCACAACTTGATGCCTTATCTCAAAGCTCCGCGGACACGACCTGTTTGAACCGGCAAGACCCGTTTGAACCGGCACTACCCGTTTGAACCGGCACTACCCGTTTGAACCGGCACTACCCGTTTGAACCGGCACTACCCGTTTCAACCGGCACTACCCATTTCAACCGGCACTACCCGTTTCAACCGGCACTACCCGTTTCAACCGGCACTACCCGTTTGAACCGGCACTACCCGTTTGAACTGGCACTACCCGTTTGAACCGGCACTACCCGTTTGAACCGGCACTACCTTCTTGAACTGACGGTCCCCGAAAGCACGAGAGACCTCCAAGCGGCCCTGAATGCGCCCGTTGATGATCGAGCCTCCAGCCTGCCGGACACAGCAAGGAGGTGGATGGTGGGCACGGACAGTGGTGGGCACGGACGGTGGTGGGCACGGAAGGCGGTGGAGGGAGCTGTAAGAGGGCAGAGAAGACGATCGCCCATGGGAGGCCACGAGAAATAAGGAGCACAGCACCACAAACGCATCCACTCCCCTTCACTCCCCTCACTCCCCTTCACTCCCCTCACTCCCCTCACTCCCTCACTGCCCTCACTCCGCTGTGCGTGCAGCGCACCTTCTCAATGCGCCTCCTCTCTGCCGGGAAGATAGCCTTGTGCTCGCGAGTCACCACAAGGGCCTTGAGACTCGCGCCGCTTGCCCCAGTGCCTGCCCCACCAACTGAATCAGTGCTTTGGGCACACACTGTGGGGGTGGGTGCTGTTGCTGCAGGTGGTGGTGGCGCTGCTGCATCTGGCTCCCTGGCGAGCACTGCCTTGGCGTCACCCAGGTTGGCCACAAACACCTGCACACAGCGCGAGACAGGGAGAGGGGGAGAGAGAGAGAGAGAGAGCGGAAGAGAGTCCTTTTTCCTTGGGCATTTAAGCGCATGAGTTATGCTCGCGAGCTCATTATTCAGGTCATTCTTCCAGCTGCTTCGTTTTGGAGCGGACATCAGTCATGCTGCATCATTGGGACTGACAGTTGTGAGCGTAGTCTACGGTTCATCCTGGCGCGTGGTTGCGCCTACAAGTCAGTTAGTGCGGGGAACCACCGCGACTACATACATGTTGGCCCAGCACCCAAACGCACACTGCTGTGGCTCCATCCTGCCAGTTGCCTGCATGGCACACACAGGATCATGCACCAACGAGTAAAACAAGCGTTGCAAGGGGGAAGGTGGGAAGCAAATGAGACCCACGGAGCCATGGGGGCAGGTCTTGAAGCAGGGCAACTCATGTTCTGGTTGCAAACACGCTTTGGAAAATGCTGTCACAAATGCAATATGTTTGACCCTTGCTGTCGGCCAGGGCACATGCCATGCAATGCCATACATGCAGCAGTGTCGAGAGGCAGCAAGGAGAGCAGGCGGGACGGGAGACAGGCTGGTCCATGGTGAGGATTTCCACAAGGGCGGTGTGCAGGCGAGGCAGAGGCAAGGAGAAGACGCACCTGCAAGGCTCTCCTTGAGCAGCTGCTCGTCCACGCGCTTCATGCCTGGCACACATGCACCCCCACCACCACACACAACGCCCCACGCCCCACGCACGCCCACACATGCCCCCACGCCCACAGTGTGCATAATCGCAGGGATGGGAAAGGACGACAGACAGACCGGGTGAATGCAGATTGAGCATGCTCGCTGGAGTGACTCAAGGAAAGTGCAGGGCGAGGCTGGTGGGTGTGGGGGGGCAGCAAAGGGGAGGGAAAGCCATGTGCAGAGAAGGTATGGCCTGGGCATGGCACATGGATGGCAAATGCCATGCCATGCATATGCACGCGCTTGGCATGCACATGAATGGCATCGGCCCAAACCAGTTCACCAGTACAGCAGTGAGTGTGCGCATGCACGCACCTTCGGTGATGGCACGCTTGGCCTTTTTTACGTCCACCTGTGACCACACAGGGAGGAGAGCACACAGGGAGGAGAGCACACAGGGAGGAGAGCACACAGGGAGGAGAGCACACAGGGAGGAGAGCACACAGGGAGGAGAGCACACAGGGAGGAGAGCACACAGGGAGGAGAGCACACAGGGAGGAGAGCACACACGGAGGAGAGCACTCAGGGAGGAGATCACACAGGGAGGAGAGCACACACGGAGGAGAGCACAATGGGTGGGAGGAGAGCGCAGTGGGAGGAGAGCACAGAGGGGGGAGAGCACAGAGGGGGGGAGTCAAGCAATGCCTTGCAGGCAGTCGTGTGGCGGGGTGTCCCCCTACGCGGCCATTCACCAAAGAGAGGAGCGAAAAAAGAGAGAATAACCTCCACATGTAAGCAGTAGGGCGAGAACGGGGATTGCAAGCCAGGCTGCATGTGGTGCATTGGGCGGCTGTGGTGCATCGAACGGCTGTGGTGCATTGGACGGCTGTGGTGCATTGAACGGCTGTGGTGCATTGGGCGGCTGTGGTGCATCGAACGGCTGTGGTGCATTGGACGGCTGTGGTGCATTGGACGGCTGTGGTGCATTGAACGGCTGTGGTGCATTGGACGGCTGTGGTGCATTGAACGGCTGTGGTGCATTGAACGGTTGTGGCGCACTGGACGGCTGTGGTGCATTGAACGGCTGTGGTGCACTGGACGGCTGTGGTGCACTGGACGGCTGTGGTGCACTGGACGGCTGTGGTGCACTGGACGGCTGTGGTGCACTGGACGGCTGTGGTGCACTGGACGGCTGTGGTGCATTGGACGGCTGTGGTGCACTGGACGGCTGTGGTGCACTGGACGGCTGTGGTGCACTGGACGGCTGTGGTGCACTGGACGGCTGTGGTGCACTGGACGGCTGTGGTTCACTGGACGGCTGTGGTGCACTGGACGGCTGTGGTGCACTGGACGGCTGTGGTGCACTGGACGGTTGTGGCGCACTGGACGGTTGTGGCGCACTGGACGGCTGTGGCGCACTGGACGGTTGCGGCGCACTGGACGGTTGTGGCGCACTGGACGGCTGTGGCGCACTGGACGGCTGTGGCGCACTGGACGGCTGTGGCGCACTGGACGGTTGCGGGTGGAGAGTATCCGCTGGCATGATGCCCAGCTGACAAGAGGAGTTCATTCAATTCGCAGGCAGGCTTAGGGGAGTGGCAGCACTCTACGATTTACACAGGTGTCATCACACAAGTTGCTGCCACGTATTGACACAATGGCACCTATTTGGTGTTCAATGCGCAGGCAGGCTTAGGGGAGTGGCAGCAGCAGCAGCAGCAGCAGCAGCAGCGCGGCGCACCCACCGACTCACGTGGCAGGCCAGCAGCGATGACGGCGGCGTTGACGTGCTTGCCCGCCCACTCCGCCGCTCGTCGCCCGCCATGCCCGTCCAGCACCGCGTAGAACGAACACCTGCCACCGCCGCCAGGGGGGGTCGGGGCGGGGGGGAGGAGGAGGGAAGAGGAGGGGACCGGCGTTGGCAGGTGCAGCAATGGCAAGAGACAATTATGCGCTGGCTCCTGCCAGCGCCAGCAGCGGGAGGGAAAGGCAAAACGCATTGGCAGGGAGGCATACAGACGATGGTCATGCGCGCAATTGGCGGCCATCAAGACCGTTTTGCCATCGCCGTCTCGTCGAATACAGCCCTCGCGCCTCCCGTGGTACCTGAGCCGGTCCGCCGCGGGTGCCCCATCATCCGCGTCGCCCCACGCGTTCGCCGTCGCCACCACCACGTCCTCGAACGTGTGGCGGCTGCCGCGGTCCTCCGCCTGCCCCGCCGCCACCCGCGTCACCCCGCCACGGCCCCGCGCCTCTCCCGCCCTCGTGCGGCCCGCCGGACCCCCCGCAGCCTCCTCGCTCGCCCCTCCTCCGCCATTCGCCGATTCACCCTCGATCCGTTGCCCCTCTCCACTCGTCCCACCACCGCCACCGCCGTCCGGCGATCCGTTCAGGGTCGCCCTGCCTTCGCCACTGTCCCCGCCGAGCCCCGCGCTGGCCGCCATCCCTGCCGCGGGGGCCTCGCCGCCCCGCACGGATCCGGCGGCGAGAGAGGCGCAATGACTGGCTGTCCTCGGACGCTTGGCGAGACTGCTGGTGTCGTCCATGCTACCAGCGGGAGAGTTGCGACGAGATGGCCTAGGGTTAGGGCGCAGAAAATCTGGTCGGTTGAGTGGGGGAAGCATCCCTGGAGGTTGTCGCCAGATTGACATTCCCCACAGTTCACCCAGTTTTTTCTGAAGGGTTGCGGGGAGTCTAAAGCGAATCGCGGTTGAAATCACGTTACCGTTAGCAAATCACTACGCGTGAAGCAACCCGGGAGATACCACCAGATCGTTAAAAACAATTATACAAACCAGCAGAGCAGATACATCAACTAAGGTGGTAAGTGTCCCCTCCACTCTACCACACTATCACATCCCACATGCCTTTCCATATCCCACCACTAAACCTTAGGGTTAGAACCTTGGCCAGACATCATAGTGCGTGCCAGCTTCCACGACCCCTACTGCCATGAGATCTGATGAGTCGTTATTCAGCTACCTCCTGCGCCTTTTACGGGTAGCATCGTGGCCGTGCATCACAGACTCTGCCAGGATTTCGTCCAACTCGGCACAGGCGCTTTCCGCCAGTTCTTTGGATAGTTCCTCGAATTGAGCACATGCATTCGCCAGCAACTCGCGGGTCAGCTCTTCAAACTGAGCACACGCGTTCCTCACAGCAGCACCCATGGCAGCATTCACCCTCTCCCCCAAAGCCGCTGCAATAGACCCTCCTGGTCGCACCCTAGCACCTCCCTTTTGCCTCTCCGTCCCCCTCCTTCCTAATCTCCTTCTCAGTCTGCGCTCCTTCCGTGCTGCCACCCCCCCCTGTGCTGTTCCTCTCACCCAGAAACCTGCTGCCTCATCAACTGTGGGCTGAGGAACTGTGAGTTGAGGAGTGGGGGTGCCGCTGGCACGGCCAACCCTGTTATGCAGGGACAGCAGATAGTTGTCGGACCCGCCGGCTGCAAACGCAGAGACTGCTGACGTGGCAGGAGCAGTCAGCGGTAGAAGACTGCTGACGGCTGTAGCGGCTGCAGCGGCTGTAGCTGCTGTTGAGTCCGGCCACGTTGGGGGAGTGATGCTTTCAGGGAACGCATATGCGGGCATCTCACTAGGTGGCGCTGCTGCTCTAGCTGCACCTGCTCTAGTGGCTCTAGCTGATCCTCGGCCAGCGCCATTCCCACCACCGCCACTCAACGTCTTCACCTCCGTGCCGTAATACAGATCCACGTACTCATACCACTCCGGATTCCCCCCTGCCTTCCTCCTTTCCGTCCCCACCGATGTGCTACCAGGCACCAGCTCATCCGCCGCGTTATTAGACCCTCTCTGCCGCTGCTCGTCCGCGTCCCCAATCTGCCCACCCGCATCCTTCACCTGCTGATTCTCGTCCCGTACTTGCTCATCGTCGCCTCTCGACTCCTGATTTCCCCCTGTCGTCTGCTTCGCCACCTCCCTCATCCGGACGTCGTCGTATTTCGCTTTCATCCGCTTCCATTGCTGCGCCATCGCCGTCGGCAGCCGCGACCACGCGGGGTTCCCGCGCCGGATCAAGCGCCGCACCTGCCGCCAGTAACCGCTGCCCTTGGCGCCAGCGCGGCGCGTGACGGCGCCGCTCTCGCGGCAGTAGAGCACGGCGGCCGCCAGCTCCAGCATCTCCGAGTCGCTCCACACCCTCCTCGTCGCCGCTACTCCGCCGCCCGCACCCGCCTCCCCGGCAGCATCATCCTCTCCCTCCGTTTCACTGTCCTCTCGCCCCGCTTCAGCCTCTCCTTCCACTCGATCCGTTTGAGACGTTTGTAGCGGCCCAGCCGCCACTAGCTGCCGGCTGTAGTCATCGTCCGAATCGGACTCGTCACAGTTGTCGCCATCGTCGCCACCATCGCTCATCGCGTCTCGCCGTCGGGTGACTTCAGCAGCCTGCTGCTCCTTCATCCACCGGACGAACGGGGGGTCCAGGGTCGGTGCGGTTGTGGGATCGCCTCCCACGCCCTGGCGCTGCCCATTCGCTGCACGTTTTGTAGGAGCCATGAAACAGGGGACCTACTGCCAATAGAGACGGAGCGGTGTGATTGCGCTACGAGTGGGGAGACTCGGTCGATTTAGAGCACGAAGGGAATGGAGGGCTGACATCCGCTGACGCGTCACGAAACCGAATTATAAATCTCCTGTAACGTTCTGAAACAGCCAAAACCTTTTTGCACCGATCACTGACATGGCAAACTTACTTCACGCCGTTGACCCATAAAGCAGATGAACCAAAAGAGTGTGAGTCAACGGACTGCGAATTAGAGCGAGCTGTTGACGAGAGTGCGAAAAGGGCACGAAGCCGAGTGGAAAAAACGTGCTGGCAAAAAACGAAGTTGGGCAACCAGCGCAGAACACCCGTGGGAACCAGAGTCTATTTTTCAAGGGTAATTACCCGGAATGAAAAATCATTGAGAGTTCGCGTTGGGCTCGTTCCGGACTTTGAACGGGTAGAGTTATTGGGGTTTCAGGAATTTTTAGTAGTGGTGTTGCGGGGGGCTCCGGGAAGATCAGAATTCGCTGGGGGGGCAATCCAGCTGCAACTGCCAAGAAATACCCCCTCCATCCCCCTCCCCTTCCCCCCTCCTCGCACCCAGGGTGGCAGAGATATTTTTCCGGCTAAGTCCCCAACTTTTAGAGACAATTCCACGGAGCCCCCGAACCCAGGAAATTCGGCTAAGTCCCTCACACACATAACTCCCACTCCAGCAAAACTCAGAAAAATCGGCGATGTCCCCAACTTCCAGCAGCATTCCTTCCTTAACCCCGCAACCAAGCAAATATGGCGAAGTCTCCCACACACAGACATACCGTGCTCCTCCCACCCGCACCACCCGAAACCCAGAATTTTCGGCTAAATACGTCACAGTCATGAACATTTCTTCCTCGATCACAGTTGAATTCGGCTAAGTCCCTCCCAAACAGAGATAGTCCTCCTACCCACACCCACGAAACTTCGGCTAGTCCTCATTGCAGGAGCATTTCTGCATTTACCCTATAACATAGAGTATTTGGCTAAGTCTCTCTTAAACCTAGAGAATTTTACATAGAGAGACTCCTCCCATCCAGGCCACCCTAAACCTTGACCGGAAAATTCTTCCTACCGCCCCGCACGCCCATGGAGCTAGGAAAATTTGGCTAAAAACGTTTAGCCACGTTTCCCTCCTCCCCCTTTCCGCTACCCGGAAAGTTGCGAAGGTTGCTGACAAATATTCTACCCTACTTTAGCGGGTCTGTCAGAAAACTAGCGAAGGAAATTCACACTCCTAACATAGCAAGTCCAAAAGTACTCTCTTTTTCTGGCACTCCGCAAATGTTACCGTGTTTGGACCTTGATCATCTTGACATGTACGAGTCAATGTTTGCTGTAACTCGGCTAAAAGTAACTTTGTACCCAAATCCGGATGAAACAGCAATCAATTACCCTGAAATCCGGACGAATCAGGGTGCAGGGGGGTAGGGAATCCGGGAGAAACAGAGTGTAAAAAAACCTTAGCGTGAGCTCTGGTGGGAACATGCGTGGGAGCGGGGGACAAGGGAAGGGTTGCACAAGGAAAATGAAAGACTAGCGGGGGACGGGGGAGGAAAACAGCAGAAGTTTCGCAGATTCGAATTGCAGGCTCGAAAGGGTGCGCAGGGGGAAACGGGGAGGGCAGTACAAACAGAAGTTGCAAATTGCAGACTCAAAAGGGGGTACGGGGGGAAACGGTGGGGGGGGCACAAATGAGAAGTTGCGAAGTGCAGACTCAAACGAGGAGCAAACGTGGGGGGTGTTTGCAAATTGCAAACTCGAACCGGGACGGGGAATGGGGGGGGCGCGCACAAACAAAAGTTGCAAATTGCAGACTTAAAGCGCGTGACCCAAGAACGATCAAGACTCAAAGGCTTTGATCCTTGGTCTCTCGCAAAACCCAACCTGCATTTACACGGTTACCCTGAAACTGAGCGACAGGATGGAAGCCCTGAACGACGAGGTTGGATTGGTTGCTTTCCCATCCTCGCTGGGCTGCGACAGCGAACGACCGCACCTGCAAATAACCAGTTCCCCAAGCGAGGATCAAGACTCAGAGCATCAAGTTTACTTGGGACTCCCGAATATGGCTGCCGTAGCGTAGGAGAAAAACCGAGCTAGGTAGGACTAACTAGCGTGTACATCCTAAAATTTTAGGGGATCGCCGAGGCATCGCGATGCACGCAGGTACGCGGTTGAAAAAAATCCGACACACTAGTGGTCACTCACGCCTCACGCAATAGCACGCGGCTATGTCTCGCGAGCAAGACGACATCAGTCAAGGAAACCAGCAGACTCGTGGGAATTTGAAGCACGACCTGGACCATTCGCGTCGCAACTAACAACCAGTGAACCACTCCGCGCCCTTCTCCTTGCAAAACTTTGTGCTCGAAGGTCGATCACCCATCCCCTCGTCGCACATGCCATTCCCCATTCGCCGTCCCCCTCGTCGCACGTGCAGCCCTCCCTCGGGACGCTCTTCCCCTCGTCCCACATATCCCAACCCCTCGTCGCACATGCAACCCTTCCCCGCTGTCGCCCTTCCCCGTTATCGCCCTTCCCCGCTGTCGCCCTTCCCCGCGCCGCCCCTTTCCGCTTCGCCCTTCTCCGTGTCGCCCTTCTCCGTATCGCCCTTCTCCGCCTCATCCCCTTACCGCTATTTCTCCCTGCCCCTTGCCGTCAATCTCCCTTCTCTGCGTCGTCCTACTCCCTTCCACTCACCCTCATTTCCCACTCCAGTTCCCTCATCGCCCTCAAGCAGCGAGCAGTTCCCACTCCATTTTCCCCCCACCCCCCTGCTCCCGTTCTCACTCCATTTCCCCCTCTTTTCCCCATCTCATCCCCCTCAGTTCCCCCTCTCATTCCCTTCAGTTCCCCCCTCTTTCCCCTCAGTTCCTCCTCTTTTTCCCTTCAGCTCCCCTTCTTGCCCCACACTCCCCCCCTCTTTCCCCCCCCATCTCTATCTCTGTTTCCCTTCGGATCCCCTCTGCATCCCTTGACTTTCTCCTCTGCATCCCCTCTCTTTCCTCATAGTTCCGCCTCCCTTTCCCCTCATCTCCCCTCTTCTTTGCCCCCCTCCTCCACTCAGGTTCTCTCCCTCTCTCCCTATCCGCCTCTCCCTTTCCCCCTATCCTCTTCTCCCTTTCCCCCAATCCTTCTCTCCATTTCCCCCTATCCGCCTCTCTATTTCCCCATGTCCTCCTCTCCCTCCCCCCCTATCCGCCTCTCCCTTTCCCCTTATCCTCCTCTCCATTTCCCCCTATCCTCCTCTCCCTTTCCCCTTATCCGCCTCTCCCTTTCCCCCTATCCGCCTCTCCCTTTCCCCCTGTCCTCCTCTCCCTCTCTCCCTATCTGCCTCTCCCTTTCCCCCTATTCTCCTCTCCCTTTCCCCCTATCCTCCTCTCCCTCTCCCCCTATCCTCATCTCCCTTTCCCCCTTTCCTCCTCTCCCTCTCCACCTATCGTCCTCTCACTTTCCCCCTGTCCTCCTCTCCCATCTGCGCTCCCCCCCCTGCTCCCCTGCTCCCTGTCACCCTATTTTGTTGCCTACAAGGCGGGAGTGAGGTTGTGATGGTGGGGCCTGACTCTTACCTCTCATCTCCCGCTCCCTTGCCTCCCAGCTCCCGCTCTCTTGCCTCTCAGCTCCCGCTCTCTTGCCTCTCAGCTCCCGCTCTCTTGCCTCTCATCTCCCCTCTGCTCACCCCTCATTCACTCACTACCCCCTTTCTTTGCCGTCTGCCTCCCCTTCTCCTTGCTCTCCCAACAGTGGGTCATGACACGCACATGGCACTGCACGCATCAACTTGCACTCTCCCCGCCTCTTCCGCGCTCTCCCTCGCACCACCACCACACCCTTTAAAGCCCGTGGCTATAATAGCAATCAAGAGGGCTGTTTAATTTGCTCTTGAACTTGGCACATGACTTGATCTTTAGAGTAAACGAAACATAATAAAAACATTTCGTTTTGAAAAGCGGAATCTGACCGTGGCGGTTTGGCGACAGTTTTTGCACGAAACCATTCGGTGAACAGTACAATACGCGTCGTGCGACCGAAATTCGTGGTTCCGTGAACAGTGAAAATGCGAGAAGAACAGTCCTTTTTTGGCGAACAGTAGATGATTCCGGAAAAGCAGACCTGGAAATC